TCCCACAAAAAGCAAGATAAGGACACCATAATGGCCACACTGTCCACGAAGGACGGAAAGACACTTACGCCGCAGAGCAAGAAAGCCACGGCAAGCAAACCTGATCTCTCTGACCGGTCGCTCATTCTCCAAAAAGTGGAAGAATCACCGGCTTCCGATTCCAAGGGCAGGTTCGAGCATGACCTTAACTTGGTCAAGCCCCTCTTAGATAAGCTACTGCCCACAACAGTATCAGGCATAATCCTACACATCTTATATAGAATCGGCCAAAGGCCTGACTCAACAGTAAATCAGCCTGTACGCCTTCTCAAAGTCGTACTAAACTCCAAAGAAGAGAGGAATGTCATTCTGAGCAACTCACAAACTCTTAAAGGACTAGGCATATACGTCCGTGCCGACTTTTGCCAAGCAGATCGCGTCAAAAGACGGTCTGCGGCTCTAGAATAAAGCGAACGACACCGAAACGGTGAGAAAACCTTAAGATTATGGGTTTCCGGGTTGTCAAAGTTAGAAGTTTAATGATCCCTAAGCTCAGGAAGCACTAAACTGAGCTAATAGTTTACTTCACAAGTGCCCGCAGCCTGCTGAACAAACGGACTGAGCTGGGCAATATGACAGACTCCGGAAATCCGGATGTAATTATCATAACAGAGACATGGCTCACACCCGATGTCACTAATAGCGAAGTTAACCTGCCAAACTTCGAAGTGCATAAGGTGGACCGACCAAGCCTCAAAGGCGGTGGAGTAGTTATCTACCTCAAAAAAAGCCTAACCCTGCGTAGCATCGAAGCACTCGCTCACGAAAGTGAGTCGCGCGAACTTCTACGCTGCAGACTTAAATGTATAGGCCAAGATATTGACCTTATTGCTATATACCGCAGTCCTGAATGCAGTGCAGACAACTTCCTAGTAGAGAAGCTAGGCTCCTGGATGTCGAAATGTCGAAGTCTCATAGTCAGCAACTTCAACGCCCCAACAATTGACTAGATAATGATGCCATCTTCAGGCAACTCCTTTGATTATAAACTGCTGGAATCTAGCATTTCGCTAGCCTTATTCCAACATATCATGAAGCCCACGCGCTATGACTCTCAGCACTCCTCTTTAACATTGGACCTAGTGTTCTCCCACGGTGAGGATGTGGATCTCATACAACATCTTCCTCCTTTAGGAGGAGGTGATCACGCTGTGCTCACTTTCAAGTTCACAGCAGCAGTATCATGGGCCGAAACCCCAGCTCGACTAAACGTTTGGAAACCTGATATAAATGCGATCGTCTCAGCAGCCAACTCAGTGAACTGGTGCATAAACCCAGAGTCCGAAGCAGAAGTGGCATAGAACCAGTTTAAACGACTTTACGTCCAAGCGACTGAACCTTTCATCCTTTGGTCTGTCTAAAGGGTCGGAAACATTGCCCCCCTTGGATAAACCGAGAGATGTGTAAGTTACTCAGATGTAAACACAAATGTTTGAACTCGTTTGCCACACTTGGGACTCCTGAGACGAGAAAATTATACGACATTATATGCCAATCAAGGACGAAGTTCGAAGCACACCTGGCTCGAAATGCAACGGCACAGCCTGAAAAAGTTTTCTCCTACATGAACTTCAGGAATAAGACATCCAATGGTGTCCAAAACCTGACTATTGGCAATGAAACGATCGAATAAGATCAAGAAAGAGCAGAAGACTACTTCTCACAAGTCTTTGCACAGGAGTCGTCAATCCCCATAGGATCAGCTCTGGTTGCATCGGAAGAACACAGGATACATTCTGTTGACGTCAACTGGCTAATGAAACTAAGTGCAGGGAAATCAATGGGTCCTGATAATCTTCATCTAGGGCTTCTCAAGGAGTTATCGGCTCACGTTGGCGGGCCATTGACCACGACCTTCAAGCTCTCCTTACTAAATGCAGTGTTACCGCATGGATGGAAAGACGCCATAGTAAGCCCCATCCACAAAGGAGGATCAAGACAAAACCCTTCAAAATACAGCCCTATTAGTCTCACCAGTACTTTAATCAAGACACTGGAAAGAATCATCGAGAAAAGTATCATGGCATATCTGGGAAACAACAGCTTGTTATCCGGAGCACAGTATGGCTTTCAAGGAGATCTCTCATGCCTGTCAAATCTTCTCACTGCAAGAGAAAGCTGGGTCAAATCAAGGAACAACAGAAGACCCGTTGACGTAGTCTTCATAGACTCCAGCCTACGATAAATTTCCTCACAAGAGACTACTCATGAAGTTGGAAAGTCTTGGTATCAAAGGTAGCTTACTAAACTGGATTAGGGAATTCCTCATAGATAGGAGGCAGAGGGTTAGGATCAACTCGAAACTCTCCTCCTGGACAGCAGCGCGTAGCGGACAGCTCATATTTATTTCGTATATCAGTGAGTTGGCTCTGCTCATTGATTCCCCTATGTTCCTATATACAAATGAATTAAATATTTGGAGAAAGCTGAAGGACGACAGTGATACGCTAACATTGCAAGAAGACCTCAACAAACTGTCAGAGTGGTCCAGAGAATGGATGCTGCCGATCAATATAGCGAAATGTGCTACCATACGCATCGGGCACACAAGCATCAGCTAGAGGGAACTAGGGGGAATAACACTCCCATCATTTCAGACTCATTTGGATTTAGGTGCCATAGTTTGTCAAAACTTAAAAACTGCAGTACACTGTCGTGCGGTGGCTGCACGTAGTTTCATATCCTTATGGGCAATTCTCACAGCCTTTACTAGAATCACCAGAGATATGTTCACCTCCTTATATACATTTCTGGTGAGGTTAAGACTGGAAAACTGTATCCAGTCAGCCAGTCCTTGTCTTAAAGTGAACTCACATATCCTAGAAAGGGTTCAAAGGAAGGCAACACGTATGATTCTTGGCATGAATAATTTATCATACGCGGAAAGACAAGACAGTTTAAATCTCTTCTCCCTGTCATTTCTTGGGTAGAGAGGAGATTTAATTACAGTGTTTAAAATTTTAAATAATGACTGCAGACCTGACCTATTCTCTCTTTTCCTCCCCACCAGTCCAGAACAACTTAGAGCACATAACGGGAGAGTTCAAAAGCCAAGGAGAAACGGTATCACTGTGGTGTATTGGTTCTCGCACTGAGTTATCAACTCCCAGAATCGACTCTAAGAACAACTGGTGTCTGCAACCTCAACTGATTCATTCAAGAAGGATTGGGACAAACGAAAAATTAACTAGAATATGAAATAACATAGGCTCCAAGCCTTCTATCCTCAACCATTAAATTTTAAATCTAAATCTGAGTGTTTCTAGAATTATTGTGGTTTTATTTTCCATATTTAAGTATACTTAAATGAACCTTATGAAGGTCATTTGTCATACAGACTCAGGATGAGTACACTACTAAGCGTATGGAGGCATTAATTCTTGACAAGATTTCCGTCGAACGAAAACTCAACTATTCTGTAGAACCTCGTTGGTGTATTTGACCTCGTAGGCTTTAGTTCCTCACAGGTTTCCGTAGACGTTAACTGAGTTGACTTTCCTGAAGTAGAACAATTCATATGAAATTTACTTAATTATTGGAATACGGTTTTCAAATAAAAAAAACTGAGAGAATGACATCGCAAACAACTCAAACATTAGGAATGACAAAAACATCTTCAAAAGATTCGAGAAAAAGTGTGTGTTTTGAGATGTGTGTTGTTGAGCATTGTTCTAAAGTTATTCAAATAAGAAAGGATTTTGAGATCATTTTGGTAAAATTAGTCTCCGTCAAAAACCGATATGGTCACAGGACGACCAAAAATATATAGGATCAGGCTAATATATCGCATCGAAAATCCCAAGAATTTTCACGAGTACATAACAGGGAGAAAAATGAAGAACTTTGCTGAATGGATAATGGAGTAAAATAAGTATTGCCAAATAGCAATCCTTAAATCTCTTCCCACTATCATACTGGAGGAAGAGAGGCGACTTAATTTTGGCACATCGTATATTAAAAGGTAATTTAAGAATTGTCGCTCTAGTATACATTTATCAGGTCACCACAAGAAGGTGTTCAAACCAAGATCGAAAAAAACTTATGGAATTCAGATTCTCTCACAGAGTGTTCAACGTTGAACGTCGTACGACTGGAACTCTTTACCTGATTCAGTAGTAACAGCTCCATCGGTTAACGCTTTAAAAGAGAAACGATCTCTACAGAGATATGTATCGCAAGGATAAATGCAGGCGACAAGAGCCTTCTATCCTTATAATCTGAATATGAATCTAGCAATCCTGAGAAACGCGAGTAAAACTTATCGTTCACATGATATCATGAAGAAAGGCTTCATAACTTATTCTGTAAATCTAAAGCAAAAGAAAAAATGTCAGCTTGCTGGCACCTTTCTATCTCATCAGATTAAGAACATCTTCAGAGAACTCTATAGTCACTCAAATTATGCATATATGGTCGTTTGTTACTTTCATCAGGTGAAGAATTAAAGAAAACAAAGAAAGCATTTCAAAATAATAAGAACGACCTGAAAAATGCCATAAATATTATAAAATGAAAGTAAGTGTATTCAACTAACTCGAAGGTCATTTTCATATACGTGCCTTTCACTATGGTAACAAATATTTAAACAACAGGTTTTTGAATGTGCATTCTTAAAGTTTTATTTAGCTTTGCTTTTCATTTGAAATATTTATTTGATAGTTTCAAGATGGATATCTGAAAACCTTAATATGAATGGGGGAAATTTGATGGTTGCGCAACGTGCCTTGTCTGACACTATCAAGAACTTTGGGCTGTGTGGTGTACCAGATTTTCTGTCACGTGTACCTTGACGCTGGAGGATATTTAATGCAGCATAATTAAACGTATGGCACCTATTGTATATAATACTGGAAGATTACTTGTGAATAATACACCGAATTATTAACTGGACTATCAATTTTCTGTTCAATAAGATTCCCACACTTTCAGCTTCTGATAAATAACGTTGCTAGGTTTTCTTAATGAACTTCTTCAGCCAGTTTCTCGAGCTGTGGAATTCTCGTTTTCCTGGAGATAATAAAGCCCCCCAATTGGATTGTTTGAAAGCGGATCAGTTTAGCTCAGTGATTGATCAGAGACGTGCACTTGAGGAGCAGTCCTGCAAATTATCAATGTCGATTGAGGAGCTCAAACAAAAAATTGACTACGATTCTTTTACAAATGATTATTTGCAGAAGTGTATTCAGAAGTTGGGTGCTATATCTCAAGTTTTCAATGAGATAGAACATAGTGACCCAAAAATATCTGGGTCTTCAAATAGTCAGTTAACACCTCTTAACAATTTTCCTGGTGACATTCCAAATACAATGCTATCTCACCATACACAACCGTGTTTTCCGAATAATGCTGCCAACTTTTCTCTTTTACCTCAATGTATCGCATCGGGATTGATTAATTCGGCATCTCCACTTCTTGCTGCTGTCGCTACTTCCACAACACCGTTTTTATTCCCGTCAACGTTGAATCATTTCTCCTGTCCAGATGTTATAAAGTGAGTTGTTTCAGTTTGTAGCTAATTGTTGAATAATTTTGTCGTGTTTCACTTACGTATTACTTATATAATCAAGCTGTAAACTCGTTCAAATCTCTATACTAACCTAACGTGCATTGCTTTTACTTCATGTCTTAAGTGGTTGTCAAGTTGACTACCCTCGTTGAGTTGTCATATTGACTAATATATTGACTTCGACTCCGCTGTCACTAAATATATTGCCCAAAATCCGCATTCCGGAATGCGGATATTTAGGCCTCTGATACCTTAATAGTTTTGTGCATTTGTATCAAGGATATGCATTTGCTAATTGAACGACTCACTAAAAATCAGATATAAAGCTGCAGGCTTGCTAATAGTTTTGATAAGAAAGTTACACAAAAAACAATATTTGTCTTAATAACACTTCATTTCGTACATGTAATCAACTTCTAATTTTCTCTCTGTATACACTGAAGATTGTGTTCATTCTCATTGCACAAATAAGGTTATAAGGATAATCGATGTCATGAAAAGTTGTATGATCCTTTGAAATCGGCATAATAGAAGTGGTATAGTGTGATACTGAGAATCAGATGATGGTAAGGTATCACCTGGTATGTGCCACTATAATCAATTCATGACCTTAGTTAATATTTGATCATATAGAACTCAGTCGGATAAGATATTCTTCTGTATATAGCCAGCCAACAACCAATGATCCCATGGATTTAGTCTGCTTCCTGATCCAGCTGTCCTTCAGTTTCTTTCATTGTAGTTCAACTCATGTTATATTACCGCGTTTTAAATAATTACCGGGAAGCCTATGTAGTCTTCATCCAAGCCAAACAATTTAGATAGTATACTTATCTAACCTACGGGTTTCTCCAGTATTCGGTTTTATATCCCTGCAAATAACTCTGACCAAGAAACGTCTCTGGATACTAGAGACCTTTGATTATATACTTGGTTGCTCGGGATGTAGCTATTACTTTCACCATATACATAATAATTATTCACATAATTCAGCGTCTTAAGTCATGACAGCATAACAGTTTAACGGGTACCAAACCATAATGTCAATCACCACATCTTGTTGTCTAGTATGTCTTCTCAAAACCGCTAGCTAAAGACCACCTTTTCAAACAGTACTTATTCCTCACGACACTCTTGAGATTATGTTTGGCTAGTGTTTTAGTTGTTCGTGTCATCACAATCTCAGTCTTGATAATTGCAGAGTAAATAAGTGCTACTTATTATGAGATTGCTGGATCACACCTATCAACAGTTACAGTTCAGTCTTCTTTATTCCAACGCCTTAAGTTGTGCCATGTCAGTTTTTAAATTCAACTTATTTTAAATAGAAACTTGCAAAAAAGGATCCATTCTGTAAGATGCAATCATCTTGCAGATGATGACAATGTACACTAATATCGTATGGTAATATTATTAATAATAGACAGAAAAGTGTATGTTTACGTCGATATCCATCTTTCTATTAATATGCAGGATCAATACTGTTCATAATTCAGTTCATGATTTCCCTTTTCGACTTGTTGAGCCATGTGTAAGGAAATGTGATATGTTTTTGGCTTAATTGTGTTCTCTGCGCTGGTTACTTTAATTGTGAAGCTTTATTGTCCTTCTAGACAACATCACCACAATCCAGCTTAGAGAAGGCAACCAAACCAAAATCATCTACCTGAGATACGAATCATCTCCATTATTTCATGTGTGAAATGTTTTTCTACCTTGGTGTAAATATTAAATGTCTAACGATATATTTTAAGTCTATCATAGTAGTACATATATTTCCACTTTTCATCGTTTTTTTTTAAAATACGTGTCTTGTTTTTGTTAGTTACTAGTCCGGTTCGTACTGTATATTGTCACCAAGGTTTGAACAAAAAAATTGTACATGTCATACACTTGGCAGTGTTGTTTTTTTGAGCCAACATTAGATTGACATGTCCTAAACATGTTACTTGTCAATTATCTCACATGTGATATGATCATGCCATTCATTGACCTGATAACAGTTTATTTACTAGAATGGATCACACTGGATGTGGATTTATAGGGCTGTCTACTCGCCTAAATGGATGGATCTGGTTTCGAACTTGGGACCTATGGGTTGAAAGTCAAATGCTCATGCCAATGAGGCAGATCTCATCGTTAAATTAGTTTAATTATACCACTTTGTGACATCCAAATACAGTACATTTTTGATGTAGTAAATATGGATCAATGGAAGGTGTACCAGTTAAAAAAAACACAAGTAACCCTTATAGAAATGGTGATCGTAAAATTGCTTCTATTCATGTCTCAAAAGTTTCAAACTTAATAATTGCTCAGTCTTGGGTAATACGAATGAGTCACTATTTACAGTCATCCTTTATTTGACAGCTATGCAACATGTAAATTACTACCCCTAGTCTCTTCTTAACCTACTGAATTATTTTGTGACTCTCGGAGGCTCCTCTCTGGTATTTGGATTTGAAAATGTTAGTACTTTATGGCTGACTAATAAGTAATAAGTAGTACCTTACCTTCAAATGAATGGTTAGTTTCCTGCTAGCTAAATGACTACATAGTACTTTTATTATTGACTTTTCATTTACCTCATATGCTTCCATGAAAGGCGCACTTATAAACCAGAATACAGGAACTTGGATACTACTTTCCAGCTGATACCAGTCTGTCAGTGTACACTGTCTTTTACTTAGGGGCATCAAGTAGTTTAAAATGAAATAAAGAAGTCAGTCGATGGAGAAACAAAATTTCATCAGTTCATGCTCTGGAATATACGTTACACATCTTTCCTTATAATCCAAAATGTAGTATCTTAACAGTAGTTGGACTGGGGTGAAAAAAGTGAAAGATAATCAGATCAGGGAGCAGCATAAATCCATGGGATCGTTGGTTGTTGGCTGGCCATATACAGAAGAAGAATAACGTTCCTGACTGAGTTCCATATGATCAATTTAATTTTATTGTTTTATGTGTAAAACTTGGGCACTGTGGTAGTATGTAATTCCATTTTAGTTTGTTCACTAGATGTATCACACAGTGACAGTATTATTTACTCGATAACGTTTCGAACAAAATTTATTGTTTATAATCATATCGATTATAAACGCACAACTTCGAAGTCTGAGTCTTATAGTTTTCTTTGTTCTCTCCTATTTGTCGTCGTAGGGGTAGTAGAATTTTCCAGATCTCTGGGACAAGTGTTGAATCACTCCTATTACACGTATTTGCAGTTGTTCGAAACTTCATCCAGTAAATAATACTGTTTCACTGTGTAATACATCTAATAAACAAACTAATATGAAATTTTATTGTATTCATCAAGAGTAAGAATTGGTTACATCGGCACTTACTAGGTTTTTACCTTACCACGATTATCATTCATTACTTGTAGCCCAAATGAATTACTACTGGTGTCTTACTATCACAAAGTTGTTATCTACATGCTCTTGGAGTTTCGTCCCTATCATATTAGCTGTAAGTCGCTTAATACCCACCAGCTGAGTCCATATGAAGTGTCATTTATCAGTTTGAAGTACTGAATGTGTCTGAATTTCAGTCATCAGCTATGCGAAATGTATAAATTCATTCTAACTCACTGTAACATTAAGATGAGCATAAACTGAATGATTCCAATTATGTTGTTTTGTAGCTAAGGCTGACATGATTTTCAGTTGGTCCTGTCATTTCCATTCTTCATAATTTAAGCTAGCCATTTAGCTGTCTATCAGAAATCAAGTATGCATTACTATTGTGTAACCTTCAAGTACTCGTAATCGTTTGTGAAGCTACCGTTTGAACAGTTTCCCTCAGTGTGGGCCATACGTTGTTATTAGATTTAAGATATGAACAAGTATCGTCTGTGTAAATCTGACTGTTAACTTTTAACCGCCTACAAACGTTCAGAGGGGTAAAATCCTTAATGGTTAAATAATCTGTTCCAATAGTTGTCCACTGTTTGTCTCATCTCAGTCTTATTTTAATGCTTTATGATTTTGTTTTGTGCCATTGTGAAACGGTGTCGTAAGCACTGCTAATTTTCTTACTGTACGTGTTTGTGTGGTTTTGAAGCATTGCCACCTAAAAGATGTCGATTTTAAGCGCTCTATGTTCGTGCCCAATAAATGAAATAGTAATAACTGTTGGAAGCGATCGGCGGGAAACCGTGGACCTAGGTTTCGTGCTAGTTGGCACTCACCAGTCAGTCAGCAAGGCGTATCTGCAACCTTGAAGTGACTTATGCCCCTTCTGAGATTCGAACATGTGCTAACTAGCACGAAGTCTACGTCAGACTAGGCTTCCTGCCGATTGCCTCCAACCGTCTGATATCAACAATTCAAAGTGCATCGTGATGGCGAGCCAACTAAACTGATGGTGGCCACATTGCTAACTTGACTGATAGAATTCTAGTCTGCAGTAAAAATAAAGAACTAAACACATTACTATTATTTATTATTATTTCCTTGAGTTCCTAGTGGAACGTAGGGCTTCAACAACACATCTCCACTTTGTCCTATCTTCTGTCGTCCTCTTCAGCTTGGACCACAATTGCCCACAATCTCTCATCTCCTCTTCACACGATCTCCTCCATGTCACCCTCTCACTGACGACCCACTCGTCGCTTCCCGCTGGGATTCCACTCGAGGGCCCTGCGCGCGATGTCATTCGATGGTCTCCTCAATGTATGCCCGATTCATCCCCATTTTCTCCTATATATTTGTTGAGCAATCGGCTCTTGTTTGGTTTGTTCCTAGCCAGAGTTTCTTGTTACTAATTCTTTCTGGCCTGCCATTTGATCTTCATTATGGAGCCAGTGAAGTGGGCAGCTGTTGATAAAAGTCTGAAATCGCCTGTTGGAAATTCTTTTCGTGACACGCCAAGTTTCTGACCGGACACATTACACTAGTTACTAACTAGTGTCCAATAAAATTTTAGTACTGTGGTAATGCTTCTCCCCTTACAAATTCCCAATGAGAAAACTTCGAATTTATACCCATTTAAAAAATTGTTGTGAAATTAACATACTTTTTACTTTTTTTTTGGCAGATCTGATCCAGATCAAGTTGGACAATCCAGTAGACCTGTTGGTTCTACCGATCATTCCCTTTTCCGGTCTTCACACGAAAATCAACCCTTCGAGGTTACACCATCTCCCGTTCATAATAACTTGTTTTGCTCTGGAACAAGTTACGCTACTCCTGTAGTATCCCGTTCTATACCGCATGATACAGGGAGCTGTATGAAATCGAATTACTCCACTGGGTTGACAGGAGCAACTACGGATGCTCAAGCGGCAGCTGCTGCTGTTGCTGCTGCTTTCGGACTTAACTTTCCTGCTACCGGTGGTGGTTCTCTCACAAACAACAACAACAACAACAACAATAATATGATGGGATTTAACAAACAAAGAAATCAATCTGGTTCAAGTCTACTTCAAATCTCACCTTTAAGTTCGATAAATGGTACAGATGGGAAAGAAGAAGATAGTTCAGTTGAACGCCCTTTTCAATGCATGACATGTTCAAGAACTTTTTCTGTCAAAGCAGGTCTAGTCCAACATATGCGTACGCACACAGATGAACGGCCATATCCATGCATTCATTGTGGCAGAGCTTTTAAACAAAAAATCCAACTCACCACTCATATGCGTGTACATAGCGGTGAACGTCCTTATGGTTGCCGTTTATGCGGCAAGTTATTCCGCCAACAAAGTCATGTAGTTCAACATTTACGAACGCATACAGGAGAAAAGCCGCATAAATGTTATCAATGCGGAAAGGCTTTTAGACAAAAGTATAGCCTTATTTCTCATCAACGTCGTATGTGTCGTAATCGTTCTGCGTCTAATCCAATTGCCGCTGGAATGACTATGTGGATAAGTCCAGGCGCTGGAGGAGATACTGGTAATCTTATTAAAGAATTTTCACCAAATAATAAGTGTAATTCATCCATTGCTAGCCCAAATGTTTCATTATCCACTCCAATCTCAGTTATGACATCGCTTCAATCACCCCAATCCCCATTTGTATCCTCACCGGTATCAAATAACCTTACACTATCTCAAAGTCATTTCCAGAACCCGGTCAGTTTAAATGGTGATTCACAGTGTGAAAATCCACTTTCAACAAGATCCCGTTGTAATTCCCTGTCAAAGAATAAATATGAATTACAAGATTGGTCGTGTGCTTCTCTTTCCAGGCATCCATCATCACGTTTAGCTGCAGCAGCAGCAGCATCAGAACAACAGTATCAGAAGATGATTCCATGCATAGTCCAAGAACTTCAAGATCAAGCAATCTACAAAACCATGCTCCAATGGGTTTAACTTAGCGCAGGATGTTGTAAAGGTTCTTGGGGACTGTTTTATATATACATAATTCAGAGTATGTTTGTTATCATCTCATTTATTGTTGAATAGCCCTCATTATACATATATATACATGTATGCATATATATATTGGCAAATGCTTTCCACTACTTTATTTTGATACCTATGACAAGCGGTGTTTGTGTGTGTGTGTGCATGTCAAACCTTGAAATCTAATTAATTAGGAAGACATTGAATATTTGTCATTTATATTGATCAAAATACTTTCTTTCGTATTTATTATTATTAAAAAGTTGACTTATTTTTTGCTGCTGTTCCTTTTTCATTTGCTTTACCACAACCACAACCACCGCCACCACTCACTGACTGATATGACAATGATTCCTAATCAATCTCTCTCTCTCTCTCCTTCCACAGAGACAGACTATCAAACGTATACAATCGAATCTTTCATAATATACAACAACACAACAAAATAACTTCACTATTTTTACCTTTTCTGAATTTCGTTTTTATAATTAATCCTGTTATATATATTCCAAAGAAAAATTGCTTCTTTGTTTTGTAAAGTGCTTTCAAAATTGACTTTTTTTTATAAACAAACAACACATTTTTCGCTTCATATTGGTTTTCCCCTGTCTATTGCATCATAGTAAATATTACTACTGCCACTATTACTATCATTATTATTCAACCAAGAAATAAATATACATTTCGTCTATTTGTTGTTTGTAATGCCAGATGATGATGAAATTGTGAGTCACCATGGTGATGATGAACAGGTATGCGTGTTTGTGTGTGTGTGTGAAGATCCTATGTACCTTTCATTCCTTGTGTTATATATATATATATATATACATCTTGATGCTTCTTGACATTATTATTATTATTATCTTTTTTTTCTATTTGCCTATTTGTAATAATTCCTTCCCAAAATTATTCAAATATATTACATCATCACGTGATCCATTATCAAAATGTGTCCTACTTTCAAACAAGGCCTTCGTTGTTATTACTATTACTACTTATATATATATATATATATTATATATCAGGATGGTCGGGGGTGGGTGCCTTGCGCTGCGGGTTGGCCACCCCTCCACACACCTCTTGAAATGCTCCCATATGACCGGGCGTCTTATATAGCCTCTCCTGAGGAAGTCCTACTCACTGCCTTCACGTGGCGGAGGTGTTTTTCACCAAAGTGAGAGGGCGAAAGCGGATTCCCGGCGCTCTTCACCGGGTTGACTGTTCATTGGATGACAGTCTAGGGGAGATGGCTAAACCCTGATTCCAAACCTCCAACGACTGGCGTATGAAGCTGACTGGAGCTCACCGGCAGACGTATGGACAAAGGGTTTGTTGGATGTCTGGCCCCATTCAAAAAGGCGTATGAACCGAACTCCGGTCACCGGCTGCCAATGGATAGTGGACTCCCTACTCCACTCCTACTGCCTTGTAGGTCACACTTGGTTGTGTAAAGGCTAGAGCTGCACTCTCAAACAAAAGGCCGAGTGGTTCTGGGGACATCACTCGTACCAAATTCCCATGAAACTTCGTAAACTCTCTTCATCAGATCGCTGCGCCTGGGTAGCGATGATTTGAGAAGTTCATGAAGCCGGCTCATCCTTCCGTAGGAGATAGCCGAAGCAAAGAAGAATATATATTATATTCAGTGTATTTGGAGTCATATGTAATGTGAGCGATGTTCGCCCGTCACACTTTTAGTCCAGTCCAGTATGAAGAAGAATGTTCCGGCCGGAGAGAGGAGGGAGCGTTGTTTCATCGTCAAAAAAAGTAGTTTGTGAACTACAGGTAGTATGATAAAGATGACTGACTAACTGACTGATTTCAACGTAGAACTTTGCACAGGTGTGCAGCAGTTGGAATTGCCACACTCCATGTAGCAGATAAAGCTAGAGAAGAGAGTAGAGAGGTTCATAAGAGAGATGATAAACAGAAGTGTAAGTGAGAGAGAATAGTAATATAGAAGAACAATAGAGTTTTATTGGATGTGACAAATCACTAAAGAGTGAATGCTTCTGCGCCATCATTGAGAAAGGATTTTGAGCCATATAGCCAGCAGTCGTTGGTTTTTACCATCTTCAGGACTTCAGGCAGTCTACACCTACCTACATGGATGGCGTAAACTAACTGTTATGCATTTCATCGACTGATAAAGCCATGTTTTGGTTTTTGACCACCATTAGCTCTTCTCCAACCTCACAGATCCTATGTCAGTTAACATTGCCTGTTGTCGAGGAAGGCGATGGCTAGGGATGCATACGTAACACATGTCCTGACCATCTCATATATATGTAGCTTCATAACCTCATCAATTGACTTTCCCTGCTCACCCAACTAGTACTCGATGTCTAACTTCAATATTACTCACCCTATTGTGTACCACCTATGATCAAAGATAGCTAGCCTTCTCATATCTTCCACTTTCAATGGCCATATCTCACAGTCATAAAGGAGGACGAAGCGAAATGCTGAGCAGTACACACGTCATTTGATCGATAGGTAGCCGGATATTATGTCTACGGCAAAGATAGCTTAAGCTGGCAAATGCGAAACAAGCCTTCTGTATCCGTGCTGAGATTTCGTCAGCGGTCAGCCCGTTGTGGTTGCTGCAACTTTCCAAATAAGTGAAGTGATCAACACCCTCTACCACTTCACTTCTTATCTTTAAGCTAGGAGTGAGTTGATGTAGTTCAGTCCTGTAGCACCATCTTTTGTTTGACAGATAGTTTCCGAGACACAGTGACTACACAAATACTTTTGACATTATGTTGACGTTTATTGTGTACACATTGATTCAGCTCTCAGTTGCGTACAACCGTACTTAGAGTTATATTTAGACAAAGCAATAAGAAGACGTAATTTCAATTAAGCGAAAATATTCATTCAGACATCTATAAAACACAAAATAATTGAGCAAAGAATATCCTTTTCGATAAATTCCTCTTCTGACTCTACAATTATATATATGTTTATATACATAGAATATTCTAGAATAGTAGTCAATAACAATATTAGTGTTTTTTAAATAATATCGAGTTGTAAAGTAAGATCAATGGAATTACAGTTCATTAAAGATGCTTAAATTATAATAATAAAGATATAGTAGCAAATAGAATATCAACTAAAATTAGGAAAATTCCACAAAAATTGAGGATCATTCAAACCCAGATGGCCAAGGTAAGGATAATGTCTGAACTAACTTCTTTTGGACGCACAAATTAGGCTTCTTAATATGGATCCCAGCAGTATTTAGTAGTCGAACTCTTAAGGCGAAATTGAGATTTGTTGGTATGCGGTAAATGACCCTGAAAGCATGATTAACGTCAATCTTGTGTTTTGTATCCACAAGATGAGATAGAATAGCGCTGCGAATAGATTTTGTTTGTCCTTTACCTAACCACTATGCAGGGTGATGTTCGGAAATCTGACGAGAAACACGCCTAATTGTACGGCCTGTGTAACTGGCTCACTCCACATGAGCAGTTCATTTGGTAGATACACATGGAAGAGGCGAAATCAGGCAGTTTGCCTTTTACTCCCGAACGCAAGAGGGGAGTGGTTTTGAAGACACAGCGTAATTCGGTAGCAGCACTGAATGCTCTTTTTACCGCATTTCTAAGGCGCTGTGTTAGTATCTGAATCGTGTCCCATTTTTGTATTCTGCGACATACCTTTTAACATTAGTGTGGTTAACAACTTGAAATTAAATATTATCTGGAAAAGTCATTTATTTAGCAATGATACAGCTTAGGAATTTGGAGTTTGGGGACTAATTGGATTGACGTTTGCATTACACTATTCTACTCTTAAAATGAAGTGGGTGGTGATGGTGGTTGTCTTAGGTGTAACCACTCCTTTTGTAACATAGTAGAGTGACGTCGTCATGATACATGCAATCGTATGTTTACCAGCTTTCGAAACACCTTCATGCACAAATGACTTGAAGGGTTTCAAACTCCCTAAAGTGTGTAGGTTTTGCGTATGCATCTCAAGATAGTAAAATTCCCAATTAGAACTCCTTGTATCTTGTGTTGTTGATCAAAACTAACAGGAAAAAGGTTTGCTAGAATCACAAAGAGCATCACTAACACGGTTCGTTTACGTTGGCGAGTTCCTTCTTAATTATTGATGTGTCACTCCCCATGGTACAATCAACTGTGTTAGGGTATGGAATAGAATCTCTTATGTTACTAAGAGTAATATAAGTACACTGATAGAAACAATGTTTTCTAAGCCTGGTGTTGATGATGACTAATAGTTTTACTATTTTGTACTATCCTACGCGAATGGATCTCTTGAATCGATTGGGATTTTATTGAAATCTCAATGGTGTTTACTCTGAATAAATAATGTATTTACGGCTTACGTGTCATTTGTGGATCTATGATGATAATCTCTGTTTACTGGTGACCTGTATAGTGGTTTTCGCCTTAATCCAGTGCTGACATTGGTTCTAGGTAAACTCTCTAGGCAGTTGTTTGAGCCGGAATAGGTCAGTCTCTGACTGCAGCACTCGGTGACACGGGTTCGAATTCCAGAAGGGATATGACTTCCTTCAAGATTGTCGATGTGCCTTACTGATTGGTCATTGCCAACAAGCATGAAACCTAGGTCTAAGGCTTTCTGCAGATTGCCTTCAACTATCTAATAACAAGAATTCTGAATGCACCTTGATAGCGAGCAACCTAGCTTGGCGGCCATAAGCCAAAGTCGGCAACCATATGTACCACGTTGAAAACATCCGATCACCGAATTTGGGTTTGGTTAGTACTTGCATGGATAGCCAGCTGGGAATAGTGACTAGGTGTTGCCAGCTTTTGTCCCAGTGACTGAATGGTCAACGAGCTTTTTCTTGTAATCTGAAAGCTGGGGGTTCGATCCCTGGTGGGGTTGTGGTTGTGTAGTAATTAAAAGTCCTAAACTGGGACGAAACAGCTGGGCAGTGCTTTCTACATTTAAATGTTTGTGCGTCGGTGGTTCAGTAGAAGGAGGACACTAGCCAACAAAGCAAGTGATCTGAGGTTCGACCCCTGACCGACGCACTGTTTTATCTCACTTTGCCAGTAGTAAGTGCGGTAAAGAGGAAAGGTTAAACCAGAGTCTAGCAACTCCATCCAATGAAAAACACCACTGCTACTGAAACTTCAAAGCCAAAGTTTGAAGCCACTTGGAACGCAAAGAAGTAAAAAAAAGGCGGTTATCGTGTGGGGTAACGATGAAAAAATAAATCATTCGATCGGGTCCATGAATTCCAACTTATGCCACATCACAACATAGTGCGACTCCTACAGAAGGTCATCCGTGGTGAGTATTTGTCCTCACACCCAATCTGTTCTACCCTACTGGTCACGACTTCCCACTAGAACGCTTATGATGGAATCCTGTAACCAATCAATCAAATCCCTACAAACCGATACTTGAATATCAATGAGATGCTCACCAGCGACTGGCCATATTCAGGTAGGTAGTTACCTTGGGTTTTGTTGGGAAGTCGTGACCGGTAGAGTACAACAGATCGGGTGTGCAGACAAATACTCGCCACGAATGACCTTCTCTAGTGTTCGCACTATGTTGTGAAGTGGCATAAGTTGAAATTCATGGACCCGATCTAATGATCGAGTCCCAGTGGCTTAATGGTCTACTAGCTTGTTGGCCTTGTAACCAGAAGGTCCTGGATTCGAACCTTGGCGGCGGGTGCGTACTGATGAAGAGTCCCAAACGAGGATGACGAAACAGCTGTCCAGTACTCCCAGCTGGTTTTCCAATGGTTCTCTAACCGGTGTCAGCTCATGATAAAACCCTGTAACCAATCAACCGAATCCCTACAAACCAATACTTGAAAAATTTCGTATTTAGTTTTAAGATAGGTCGGTCACTTTCACCGTAGATTTAATTACTGAACAAACTTCTTTTGTATGCAGAGTTCAGGTTTTAACTAGTGAATCGCCATTGCTTCCGCACTGTCTGAAGGACTTTGATTCTTATCCTTTTAGGAAGATTCCTACGTATTCTGTAGATAACTTTGAAGTTACTTTGTGGGTTTGCTTGGTGTCTAGATTCATTTAGGTGTTGCAGGATAGAGCAGAAGTAGAGGATCTTTTTTATCCTTTATAAAACCATTTGAGTAAGTGTTCGATGATACGTTTGCATAGCAAACGCTGAGTGAGTACGACCGACATACGTAGCTCCACACGAGCAGGTGCATTGGTAGATGCACACTGATGAGGCCAACAGTGATAGCTTATCCTTCGTGTTCATGAGAATCATTGGTTTCACAGAGAAGGTTATTCGAAGTTCAGCAGCGAAGAAGGTTTTCTTCAGTAAGTGGTACTGGTCGTTTCTCAGTATTTCTGCCAATGAGTCTCCATTGAATTGCAGATTCATATAGAGAAGTTATGTGGATGTAGAAAAAGGAGGTGGTTTATGTTTCATAGATTTTGTGATGAAGCAGTCTGGGTAGGCATTTTCGAGGAGGTTTATATTTCGTGTTTGGCTCCCCTTCCGTAGTATCAGGGCTACAAATGCTGTGACTCAGTGAATGGATAAAGTTTCGCTTTGTATACAGGGACAACCAACGGTGGAAGTTAGTAAGTTGTTCATTCCATGTCAGCTTTCTGTAGATGGATCTTTGCAGTGTTCCATCTTGTTCACGTCTTGTTAATTGGACGTCCAGAAAGGATATCTTTGTGTCGAATTCCTTCTCTAGTGTGAACTGAATTACTGGATAGTAGCTAGTGAAGAAGTCCACGATGTTCCTCGAATTCTCCTTGTTGTTAGAGATAATGAAAGTGTCATTCACGTATCTCTTGTAAAACCCAAATTTGTCAATCATTTTGTTTATGTATGTTTCCCAGTTTTGACATTAAAAAATCTGCAAGCAACAGTCCAAGTGGTGAGCCCATAGATATACCATCCTTTTGTCTATATATTTGGTTATTGAAAGAGAATTGGACATTTGGGGTGCGTTTCAGTAGGAGTTCTCCCAAATATTCAGTGGATGAACCAATGTTCATTCCCTCCGAACTAATATTTTCACATATATAGCATACCATTTCAGTTAGTGGGACGTTCGTAAACAATGATTTGATTAGAAATACTGGAACTGACAAGATAGAAGGAATCTCAGAGTGATTAAAAGGAAATTTGACCTCTGATTGGTTCTAGCATGCTTATTAGCTATTGGGCAGTGCGATGATTAGGTGAATGAGTCATATCGAGAATGGATTTCCCGTGCACTTTCGGTAATCCATAAAGTCGGAGTGTATTTTAGCCAGAATACCTCAGCGATTCAAAGGTTTCAGAGTCGATGAATGATTTGGTTTTACTTTTCGAAGAATGTCTGTTAGTTTTTTTCCGGTTTGCTCTATCATGCTGCTTTCATTGGCTGCTTTTGTAAATTTGGACTCGTCGGATAGGATGCTAAGCATTTTACTTATATAATCTTCACGATTCATGACTCCTATTCCGTCCCCCCCCCCAACTTTATCAGGGCGTATCAGGATGATCTCTTTGTTGTTTATTAATTCCTTCAGCACTTTATAGTGCTTTTTTGGTTAATATTGACCTTCTATTTGGTCTGGCATTTATAAACTTATGGCAGCTGTCAAGATCTGACGATTTGAGGGTTCTCTTCAGATGTTGGTAACAGATCATATGTTTGATTTATCAAGTTTTCGTGCTGAACCTAGGATTGAAGCCTCTGGATATTTGATGGCTTCGCGCAGAATTTTGGACCAAGGTATAGTGCTTCTAGTTGAAATCTTGGCATTTTGATGTTTGAGAGATTGAATACGTATTTTTCTGGATTGTTTGGGAACGGACGTTCAATATATATATATATATATATATATATATATATATATATATATATATATATATATATATATATATATATATATATATATTAACTTCTCACCAAGTCTGTACAGTTAGATATTTCTCTAAATAGTTATGGCAGTTTCCACAAATAATAATAATAATAATAATCACTTTATTCCACAACAATAACAATTTACAGCATGGAATTTTCAGCGTTTCATTTTACATATTGCATTGGTTTAGCTCTTTTTATAATTATAAAAATGTATAAAATTTTAAAAATAGTAATAGTTAATAGGAAAAATAAAAACCCCAACAAAATACACCATTTATAGGTCATAGTGAATAATAAATAAATAATATAACAAATCACACATGCAATAATATACATCATTACATTTTTTAGTTTAGTTAATGATTTAGAAGTTGTAAAAGTTCTTTTCTGATATTCGTCTCTTCACACAATACTCGTGCCAAATATGGTACGGTCGAATTTTTATATTTTGTAGTACGAGCATAAATGTTTATGAAATTTCTTCTGGTCTTACCCGAAGAGATACAAGGAAACAAATGTGAATAAAGAGGATGTTCACTATCAGACAAAATAACTTTAGCTAAGTGTTTACAAGAATTCATGTGCCTATTGACAACAGTGTCGGTTAGTTGAGTCAAAGGGATAGCACTGACCCTACTTACAGCCCTCAATGTTCTTCGTAGTAATATATGGTCTTTCTTGAGTAGCCCAGGGAAGAATAATGGGGAACAATAAAGAATAATGGGCAAAACGCATGAATTAATAAATTGTATGAGAAGAGATTGGGTTATACCTGAGTGCCTCAACTTCTTTATGTAATAAGTCAGACGGAAAACTTTCGTAGAAACTATAAGAATATGAGACGACCAGCAAAGGTTTGAAGAGAAACTAATGCCAAGATAAGAAACACTTGACTTACTCTCTATCATGGTACCATCAATATTACAACAATCATGAGATTGGATCAATCCATGCAAGTCTTTTTCATTTCTCAAGCTGAAATCAACAGTATTACATTTAGTTGGATTTAGTTTAAGACCATTTGAGCTAGACCAATCCTTCACTTCAGCTAAGAAGCCATTCATATGGGAACAATCCAATGTGGAAACTACAGGGACAGAAACGGTCAGATCATCAGCATACTTAATGAAATTAACGTTGGGTGAGTTCGGAAGGTCATGCAAAAAGAAAGAGAAAAGAAATGGAGAAAGTACTGCTCCTTGAGGCACACCACTTTCAGTTAGCTGAGAAGTGGAGCGCTTTCCAGCCAAAACAGTATGCTGTTTCCTATCCTTAAAATAAGAAGACAGCCATCTAGTTGCCCAGGACTCTGTCTGTGCTGAAATCATCTTTCCTAATAAAAGTGTCCTAGGAACAGAGTCAAAAGCTGCAGTATAGTCTAAAAAAGCTGTTCGAACGAACTTAGCACCCTTATCAAGGCAGGAAACAATATTGTGGTGTAGTACAATGGCTGCATCTAATGTACTTCTTCCACACTTATAAGCAAACTGCTTAGGGTCACTAAAAGCTTTTAAAGAAGGTTTAAGAGTATTCAAAAGAAGTTTCTCCATAGTTTTTCTTCCTTATATGTAGTTTCATATTGTATCGCCAACTGATATTAATAATCAACCTTTGTGGAAATTGATTAAAAATTCCCGTTTTCAAAAGATTGGATGCTGAACAAAGAGAACTCTTTTCGATAACTTCATCATCAGGCTCTACAGTTATATATACACATTATAGTGAATGAATGAATTAGTGTTATGAACAACATTAATGTTGTTTAAATAACATCGAATCAATAAAATTGATAGATTACAGCTCAGTAGCATCAACATCAAATAAGCTGAATGTCAGAAAAATTGGGAAAGATAATATTACAAATTCATGAATTTATAGTCTCAACTGAAGACCTGCCAGGGCAGTAGTAGTGGCTAGCTGGACTTGCTTCTTTTGAACACAGAGCACTGGTTGTTTGAGGCAAATTGCAATAGCCTCTGCTATTTGGAAAATGCGGTGCTTCGATGATTTTGGCAATTTATTAGGCACCCGGTAGATTATAGAGAAGGATTCTTCCACGCTGGCTTTGTGGCCGGTCTGCACCAGATGGTCCAATATCGAACATTCAGCTTATTTTATGTTGATGCTGTTCAGCTGTAATCTATCAATATTATTGATTTGATGTTATTTAAACACCATTAATGTTGTGCATAACACTAATTCATTCATTCACTATTATGGATGCATATAACTGTAGAGCCTGATGATGGAGTTATCGAAGAGAGTATTCTTTGTTCAGTATCCATTCTTTTGAAAACGGGAATTTTTAATCAATTTCCACAAAGGTTGATTATTAATATCAGTTGGCGATACAATATGAAACTACATATAAGGAAGAAAAACAAATGGTTGAATTACATTTCCCTGATCTTTTAAATTAATATTTAACTGTACAGCTTTGAAAGGAAGTTATGACAAGAATACTGTTTGTTCACCTACATACTTTTGAACTTATATTCTATGGATATTCAATTCAGTCTAGATTTACCCGTCACTTGATTGGACCGAATTGCTCGGTCTCAGGTTGATATACGGCTCCTTGTGCAGATGCTTCGACGATACCTGGTTATATGTAACTTGAAGTCAGCTGGTGAATGACGACTTGCAGTGAAATCCAGGAAGCGCAGGATTAGCACTGCGTTCCAATCAATCGACGGGAAAATCACAATTTAATTAGATAGTGAATAAGACCCGTTGCACAAGAGGCAGTGGCTCTTGTGTCCCAAGTGATCAAGTAAATAACTCTTTGGCGTTTGAGTCTATGGTCACTGGATTCGAGTCTCGTTAGGAACGCCATCACTCACTGAGGAATGCAAGTACATCCAGCAAGACGACGAGTCCCAAATAGAACGAAATGTGCATCCTGGATTTCACTGCTAGTCACCATCCATCATATTACTATTATTATTGTTCCCTTGGGTTCCTAGTGGAACATAGGGCTTCACGTTTCCACTTGCTCCTGTCTTCTGCTGTACTTTTCACGTGCATCCATGTTAGTCCATACTGTTTCAACTCCTCTTCACACGATCTCCTCCATGTCACCCTTGGATGTCCCGCTCACCACTTCCCTTTAGGGTTACACTCGAGCACTGGCTTGACACTCGATGTCACCCAACGGCCTCCTCCTCAGCGAGTGTCCAATCCATCTCCACTTTCTCCTGCATATTTGTTGAGCGATTGTAGTACTTGTTTTGTTTGTTCCCATAGTTTCTTATTGGTGATTCTTTCCGGCCATCTGATCTTCAGCATAGAGTGAAGACAGTTGTTCATAAAGGTCTGCAACAAGCTGTTGGAAATATTCTTGGTGACCCGCCAACTTTCTGATCCGTGTAGCAAAACTGACTTGACATTTGTATTGAAAATCCGAATTTTGTTGTTGATGCTGAGTGACGAAGATTTCCAGATTGGTTTCAGGTTGATGAATGTGTTTCTCGCCTTCCCGATTCTCGATTTGACATCCTCGTCCGTTCCTCCTGTAGTTGAGACAATTCTCCCTAGATAAGTGAATGAAGTAACCTCTTTCAAATCCCTCCCGTTGATGGTGATTGGCGCTGGATGTTGCTGCTACTGTTGTTGTTGTTGTTGGTTGGTTGGTTATTTTCATAACCTCCGTCTTGTCTATGTTCACCTGCAGTCCTGTCTTCTCTGGCTGCTTCTTCGACCATTTTGTCGGTTTTCGCTTGTAAGTCTTCGATTTTGTGTGACACCAAACATAAATCATCTGCGAAATCCAGGTCTTCTAGATTCTTCACGTCAATCCAGGATATCCCTGTCTTCTCGTTTCCCACTGTCTGACGCATAATCCAGTCCACTACAATTAGGAATATCATTGGTGATAATAAGCACCCTTGTCTGACTCGTGTGTTTACTCCAAACACCTCGCTGAGTTTTCCGTTGTGGATCACTTGACATGTGCTGTTGTCGTATAGCTGTTGAATAAGGTTGATGAATATTTGGGTTACGCCGTAGTACTTGAGTAGTTTCCAAATTACTTTGCGGTCAACGCCGTCGAAGGCCTTCTCAAAGTCTATAAAGTTGAGGTAGGGGTTTGATTGCCATTCCATTCCTTGGTTCGATGATGATGCGTAGAGTTGCAATTCGGTCAGAACATGATTTGCCTTTCCTGAATCCAGCTTGTTCCGGTGGGTGGAATTCTGTATCCAGTGCGTCCTTTATTCTCTCCAGGATGATGCGACTCAGGATTTTACTTGGCGTCGACAGGAGCATGATTCCTCGCCAGTCCTTGCAGAGTCCTAGGTCGCCTTTCTTTGGTAGTTTCACCAGGTAACCTTTCCTCCAGTCAGTAGGCACCTTTCTCTCTTTCCAGACGTTTTGCAATAATGGAGTCAGCATATCTTCTGTCGTCTGTGGGTCCGCTTTCAGTGCTTCCGGGGGTATCCCATCTGGTCCAGCTGCTTTTCCAGCTTTCAGAAGCTTGATTGCATTCATGACTTCAGTTTTCGTTGGAGGATTGGTGTCCACTTGCAGTTGTGTACGTGCTGTTGTTGGTATTTCTGGACGGGTTGTCGTTGGTGGTCGGTTCAAGAGTCCTTTGAACTGGTCCGCCCATTGTTTAATCCGTCTTTCTTCCTTGATAATTGGGTTTCCTTGGCTGCCTTTTATAGGTTTCACTTGTGTTGATCTCTTCCCGGATAGAGACTTGGTTATCTGATATAGTGTCCTCAGGTCCCTTTTGCCTGCTGCCTTCTCAGCTTCAGTAGCCAGGTTGTCGTAGAATTGTCTTTTGTCCTTCCTGGCACTCTTCTTCACTTCTTTGTCCAGTGCTGTGTAAGTTGAGCTCAGCGTCTCTTTCTCTTGTCCATCTTTGCATTGAATCATTTTCTCTTTCACCATTCTCCTCTCGTCTATTAGTTTCCAAGTGTCTGTTGAGAGCCATTCCTTGTCTTGTTTCTTCTTTCTTCCTAAAACCGTTGAGCACGTTTCGTTGAAAATTACCTTCAGAGAGTTCCAATGGTCTTCCACGGATGGTTCCTCAGTGGTGCCACGTAGTGTTTCCTGCTTTGCTCTGACAGTTGCAGTGAAAATGTCCTGTGTGATTGTGACCTTCAGTTTTTGCGTGTTGAACTTGCATTGTGGCCTATCCCCAGGTATCCTCGAGGCTTTTGGCTTCACCTTGAAAGTCCCTTGTACTAGGTAGTGGTCTGAACCCACATCTGCTCCTCTCCTCGATCTTGTGTCCAGTAGGCTCCGTCTCCACTTCCTTGAGATTGAAATGGAGTCTATCTGGTTTTGGTGTGTCGATCTGGTGAAATCCATGTTGCCTTGTGTATATCCCTGTGTTTGAACACACTGCCACCAATTACCAAATCATTGAAGGCGCAGAAGTCTGAGAAGAGTTAACCATTGTCGTTCATTTCACCGAGGGCCTCGCGACCCATGGTGAGTTCTCTTCTTGTATTGTCTCCTCCCAGTTTCGCATTCATATCACCGATCGGGATTTTGATATCGCCATTTGGGACGTTGTCCATTACTGTTTGTAGTTGACTATAGAAATCCTCCTTCTTCTCATGTTCTGAGGCGTTTGTAGGCGCGTAGCACTGAATGATTGTAACCGTTTTTCCTTTTGAGTTGAACCTGGCTGTCATTATCCTGGAGGAGATTGGTTCCCACTGCATGAGAGCCTTAGCCGCTGTTGGTGACATCATGATGGCTACTCCCTCGGTGTGCTCGTGATCGTCCTCTGGGTGACCGGAGTAGATCACTGTCTCTCCAGTTGATAGTTGGTTCCTTCCACATCCGTTCCATCTGCTCTCGCAGATTCCCAACACTTCTATTTTATATCTCCTCATTTCTACGGCTACCTGAGCAGCCTTCCCAGCTTCGTACATTGTACGAATATTCCACGTCCCCATCCTTATTTTTGCTTTCATCGAAAGAAGGCACATCGGCTGACTGGCTTCCCGAAGGCTTCCACCAGCCTGCGTCATTTCACTTCCCCGATTCTAGCGAAAAATAAGGTCATTGTTTGTATTTTTAGAATTCTTGATATATATTTTTGCGTCGAAGCTTTAGTAGCAATTTGGTTAAGTTTTGGGGGTGGAGTTGCTAGCACCACGCCCCAACCCTCCCTCTTTATCCGGGCTTGGGACCGGCTAGAATACTAGTGACCTAGTAATCTAGGCGAGGTTATCCATCAAGTGACTTTATATCCCATTGGTATTAGTAGATTTTTCAAATTGTTAGATTTGATACAGTTTCCTATTTTCAGGAGGTCCTGATTGCCTAGATGTTGTCCTTATAAAAATAATAATAATAATAGCTTTATTCCAAACAGTATTTGTGGTACAGGTATGGAATTTTCAGCGTGCGTTACAATATTGCATCTAATTATCTCATAAATTTTATAAGATTTTAAAAATAAAAAGCAACAACAACAAAAAGAAAAAAAGAAAAATAAAAGAAATAAAAAAGAACAGCATTGCATTCACATATTTAAACAATGTACCACAGGATATGAAATATAAAGTTAGTGTGT